TTCCACCCTGACTTTCCCCAGAGCAAGGGGGTGCAGCGGGTCCGTGTCCGGCCGCGTCTCCTGGCCGTTCCTGGGGCAGCCGTCACGACTCAGCTGTGGTGTTTTGGCCTTCGCTTGTTTGTAACTTGCAGTCTGGTAGAGAAGTCCGTTGTGTCTCTCACCGTGACGGCTCGCCCTGAGCTTGGCGGACAGCCTGTGCTGCTCTGCCCCCCTGGGAAGAATCCATTCCCACTGGTTTAGTTTGAGAATTCAGCTTGCTGACATCTCATCCAGACCTGATGGTGTGTGGGGTTTGGATCCCCTGCAAATGTCGGGGGGGAGGTAAGCAGCATCCAAGCCATGGAGCTTCTCTTTCCTCTTCTGCGAAGCTTCTGTTTTCTGCGTGAGCCTGGACCCCAAGACCAACACGCTGGCGGTGACGGGCGGGGAGGACGACAAGGCCTTTGTGTGGCGTGTGAGCGATGGAGAGCTCCTGTTCGAGTGCTCAGGTGAGGAGCTCAGGGCTGCCCGAGTGAGTGGCCGTGTCCCCTCCCAGCCGTGTCTCTCTGGACACACTCTTCACAGCTGATGCTTTGCTGGAGCCAGGCTCCTGATGGTGCTTTGTAGCTGAGCAGTCTCTGTCCCCTGACTTCTCTAGGACACAAGGACTCGGTCACCTGTGCCGGCTTCAGTCACGACTCCGTGTTTGTGGCCACGGGTGACATGTCTGGGCTTATCAAAGTGTGGCGGGTGGACACCAAGGAAGAAGTGTGGTCCTTCGAGGTGGGGGACTTGGAGGTGAGTGGCGGCGTCCCTGGTACCGTGGGTAGCTCGTGGGCTGGCAGCTGGGACTCAGCTGGGTGGCAGGGGGATGGCATCCCCGTGACACTGCCTGTCCCTCTCTCTGCCCAGTGGATGGAGTGGCACCCTCAAGCTCATGTCCTTCTGGCGGGCACGGCTGATGGCAACTCCTGGATGTGGAAGATCCCTAGCGGAGACTGCAAGACCTTCCAGGGCCCTGCGTGCCCAGCCACGTGTGGCAGGATCCTGCCTGATGGTGAGGCATGGGGGCTGTCTGGGGTGGGGAGTGTCACCAGCTCTGTGACAGATCCCGCTGGCACCAGCTGCCCTCCTGCTTCTGCCAGTCTGTGCTGAGTGGGAGGTGGAGGGATGAGGGGAGCTCTGGCTCTATCTGCTGGCTCTGTCTCACCCAGGGAAGCGAGCAGTGGTGGGGTATGAGGATGGCACCATGCGGATCTGGGACCTGAAGCAGGGAACCTCACTGCATGTCCTGAAAGGTAGGGAAGAGGTTGATCACCTCAGGTGTTCCCTGACCTCTGCCTTGGGTGGAGAAGTGGGAGCTGTGGAGGTCAGGGGCTGCCAGGGGGAGCCTGGCGCTGGGCTTTCCTGTCCCCACAGGTCCGTGGGACACCGCTCCTCACCGTGCTGGCAGAGCTGGGCAAGGCAGAGGCTGTGGGAGGGTGGGTTTTGAGGCCTACTGGTCTCTGCAGGACGTGTGGAGCTCATGCCTGTCCTGCTGTCCCCCCAGGCCAGGATGGCCACCAGGACCCCTTGACATGCGTGGCCAGCAACCAGGACGGCAGTTTAATCATGACGGGCTCTGTGGACTGTCACGCCAAGCTGGTCAACTCTGCCACAGGCAAGGTGGGTCCGTGCTGAGCCAGGAGCCCTCGGGGACAGGGGAACCACTCTCTCAAGCCCCTGTCCTGGTCTGGGCAGGTGTCCCTGGGTGGTTCTGGGTTCTGATGGCTCCGAGCAGCCTGTGGTGGCTACCAGTGGCCAGCAGGAGGCGCCCTTGGCCAACGTGCAACCACTTTCTCCCAGTTACTGGTGGGAACTGGGGCTGCATGGTCCTGCTGGGCTCGTGGAGCACAGTTCCCCCCGTTTGCTCTGAAGAGCTGAGGTTTTGGGGTTGGGCCTTGAGTGTCCAGGGGGTGTAGGCTCGGTCCTGTGTTAGGAAGGGGACCTCAGTGTGACTGGGGGTCCCCTTTCCCTCCACTGGGGCACTTGTCGGTCTCCCTCCAGGTGGTGTGCGTGTTCAAGATGGACAGTGTGGCCCCCAAGGCCCCCACCAGCGAGGGTGAGGAGGCCGAGTCCAACTCCGTGGAGTCGCTGGGCTTCTGTAACGTGTGAGCGTGGGTTGCGTGGCACTGGGGGCACAGCCCCTCTGCAGTGCCAGATCTTACTGGGGGGGACACGTTTATTACTACCAGACCTGTTTTGGTCTCTTGTGGCTGTGTTCCTCTCTGCCCTGTCCTCCCCAACTGGCTGTGGGTATCCTGGGTCACTTCAGTGTGACACAACGGACAGGGGACGCTGGCTGTTCAGTCTTCCACCCAGTCCCTCCCGAACCATTGGGTCTCCAGGGGAGCCTGATGGACCACTGTTTGGCTGGGAGACTTTCCAGCCAGGGCTGCTGGGCATCTTTCCTACCAAGACTTTGTCTTCTCCCATGTGAACTTAGTGGCCTTTGCTGGCCCTCACTGTCCTGTTTGTTTCATGAACCGAGGTTCATGGCTCCAGTCACTGGGTTTTTCCTCATCATCTCGGTGTGCTTGGCCTTCAACCTTGAGCCTTCACCCACTTCCATCTCCGCTTCCCCCAGGCCCACCTAACGCCTGTTCCCATCTGCAGGATGCCGCTGGCTGCTGTGGGCTACCTGGATGGCACGCTGGCTATCTACGACCTCTCCACACAGAGCCTGAGGCATAAGTGCCAACATGAGGTACTGCCCTACCCACTCTCCCTGGGCCTGTGAGCGGTGGGGGAGGCTCTGGGCCTATTTGAGACCTCCCTTGGAGCCCAGGGGCTTTCCTGGAGCCAGTTCCTGATTTGTGCTTCTCACTCAGCCCCTTGGCCTTCCCCAAAGGCAGCCGCAGACTTGGCACAGAGGATGTGCCCTGTCAGCTTGGCCGTGGGGGGGGTGGCATGTGGGGTAAGCTGAGACCTGCTGGGAGTCCCGGCACTCACCCTGTGCCCCCCCTGCCCCAGTCAGGGATCGTGCAGTTGCTGTGGGAGGAGAGCTCAGCCGTGGTGTACACCTGCAGCCTGGACGGCGCTGTGCGGCTCTGGGATGCCCGCCTGGGGAAGATGATCAGCGAGTACCGAGGGCACTCAGCCGAAATACTCGACTTCGCCGTCAACAAGTGAGCAGGGAACCCCTCAACCCTTTCCCTGCGGGATGGAGGGACCAGAAGTGGCCTTGGGAGCCCATGATAAACTGTCATGGCATTCAGGTGGCCGTGGCAGCTCGACTGAGGAGGGTCTGGTCCCGGTGGGGGTGAGGAGAATAGAGACTTGAGGGTGTCAGGGAGGTGGGGCGGGTGTGGGTGAGGGATGGCTGAAGCCTTGTCTCCTGCCAGGGATGCCTCCATCGTGGTGACAACCTCCGGTGACCACCAAGCCAAAGTGTTCTGTGTGCAGCGCCCCGATCGCTAGCAGCTGTGCTGAGGGACGGAGTCCTGGCCCTGCCAGGGGACTTGTGTACAGAGGGAGGGTGGGGAGAGGGGTTTCACCACACTTCTCCAGGGTGTGCTTTGTAATTTTCCAGCCTGCCCCACTTCGCCCTCATCATCTGGGGGCTGAGCCTGGGGTTTTGTATGAAAATGTCACTTAATTATATAAATTATTTCACTTAACTGGATGCAATCCACTCTGCTTGTTGGGGGAAAGAGGACCCTGGGAGCTGTGCTCCCTCACAAAATGGGACCGCTGAAGATCATCCAGTCCAACCCCCCTCCGAGGGCAGAACGACCTAGGGAGGATCACACAGGAACACATCCAGGTGGATTCTGGATGTCTCCAGAAAAGGAGACTGCACAACCTCTCTGCACAGCCCGTTCCAGTGCTCTGTCACCCTCCCCTCCTCAGGGATCTCCCCAGCATCCAGCCATGGCCTAAGGATCAATGGCAGAGGCCCCCATCCTAGCTCTGTTAGGGGAACAAGGGGGTCAGGGTAGGAAGGAGGGGTGACATTGCTACCTGAGGGTAGGAGGGTCCTGCTCTGTGCAGCCAGTTCCCTAACCCAAGAGCACACTCACTCCTAGACCTGGACACACAGCACCCCCACTTCGGCCCCCAAGACAGAGATCACCATGAATGTGACTCCAAGCACCCGTTCCAGGCCAAGGCCACATGCATTGACAAGCCAAAGCCCCACGGCCCCTTAAGATAGAAAGATCTCCTTTATTAATGAACCCCAACAGTATTTCTTCAGATACAGGAGTTTTGAACTCAAATACTCGGAAGAAAACAAGTTAATATTGCATTATTCTCATAAGAAATACCGCAACTTATTTCCGGTAACATATTGCAAAGCGAAACAGCTTGAAAAGAAAAAAAAAATTAAAAAAAAGAAAAGAAATTAAGTCAATCAAACTGGAATTAAGGTTTTGTTTCTTGGAACGATCGAGTCCTCGCAAGCACAGCTCGTTTCTGCAGATTACTCCCCAAACTGTCGTACAAACAGACCCCGATTGCTTGAATTCCTTATGAGCCCACAGAGGTGCAACATTAAAAGCTACGATTATCGGGTAGCAAGTGCCCCAACCTTCGTCATCCACGGCAGCCTCGGTGACCCCGACGTTAACGGCTTGTGAACGTCTTCCCCCTGAAAGGACGCAGAGAGAGGTCAGCACAGCCCCCAGCGCTGTTCTGGGGAGCCCCAGGGTGGCTGTCCGGCTTTCTGGGGGACACACACTTGCCCCGAGATCTCAAACCCAGGCAGGTACTGCTTGCTCAGAGCTCATGGGTGCTTGTGGCTGCAGCACCAGGTCACGGGGCTGTGGGGAGGGGTTGGCTTTTGCAGAGAGGACAACCCTGGTGCCCCAGAGCAGATTGCAAAGGGGACATTGCCAGGACACACGGAAAGAGGACACCGAGGGGCTCTGGGATCAGCAGAAGGTAAAGGACACAAGGGAAGCACGTTCACACAACTGCTGTCCTCCACCCGCATTGCTCTGGGCTGCTTCATTCACAGGAGGCAGACGGGCAGCACAGGGGGGCCTGGGAGTGCTCCTGGCCCCAGGCAGCTGCTGGCCAAGGGCTCACAGGAGCCCACTGGTGCACAAACCCACCCTAGCACCCACAGCTCCAGCCCCAGGAGGACATGGCCACTCCCCCATGAGCTGGAGCTGCCCCCAGAGCAATCAACCAGCTTCATACAACAGGGAAAAGCCCCACAAATGCCACCATGGCCTCGGGGAGGGGGGGGCCGTGGCGACACCAGGGCTTGCAGAACCACACACAAGCCTTCTTCTGCAAAGGCGCAGCTGTGCCAGACACAGCTCCAGTGAAGGACAAGTAAGCAGTGAGCAAGTGTGGTGGAGGGAGCACAGGGGTCTTGGGGACCCCTGATTCAGTCTTTCATCCTCAAGGCATCCTGGCAAGCACCTTGCTCTTCAGCACCCCTTTCCTCTCTCAGATGGGGTCACCCCCACAGCATCCCAGTCCTCCCCCTGGGTACGCTGGCAGAGAAACCCAGAGAGCTGGGCCCCGCTGCTACTCACGTGATTGTTTTCATTTCTTTCTTCTCTGCGTCTGGGCGGGCACGATTCAGCACCTTGAGGAAATCTGATGTTTTCGCCCTCATACGCGTGTGAATATAGGCCTGGATTTCATCGGGACAAAACGGGGACACATCAGGATCCTGTTCTCATAGGTTTCAAGTCATGGGATAGGAGCTCTACTTTTGCTTCCTGTTGGGAAAGCACCGAGCTCTGCACAGCCGCGGTGCTATAAGGGTTGCTCAGAAGGCAACAGTGAAAATCACTGCCTGTGCGCTGATCAAAGCCAGGTCTCACTGACCAACTACTCTTATTTCTGTTCCCAGAAAGAAAACCAGATTCAAAAGGGGAAAAAAACCCCCTACTTTGCTGCTAGGATGGGAAGCAAACAGGCACTGCCTGTGCCAAAGAACAGGGAGAGGGCGATGACGCATCATTTACCAACCCCAAGTGACCGGGGAGGGCAATGCCGGACTGCAGCGAGGTCTCAGGGGGACACCCCTGCCCCATGCTCCTGCCCTGCAGCGTGCAGGGTTAACAGCCAAAGCCACCCTGCATCCCCCAGCCGCATCCCCTCCGTACCTTCGAGCACTTGATGTGATAGTGCAGGTAGTCCCGGAATGTGTGGATCAGGTTTATGGTGTTGTCTCTGGCAGCAGCATTGGTGTGACGGGGGAACAGCACTGAAAGAACAGGGGGACACAAACCATTAGTGCCTCCCGAGGCTACCAAAGGGCTCCAGGTTCCTCCAGTGCTGGAGGCTTCACGATGCGCTGCTCTGAATGCCCACTGCGTCCTCTACAGAAGAGCCCTTTACTGCGACACGTATCAAGATTACACAGCACTTGGAATGTTAAACACAGGGCTTAGAGGTACTTTTCCACATCTCCTGCAGCAGCCTGGACACAGCTGTGCACTCCGGAGAATGCAGGCAAGGCCAAGTGCCCAGAGATGACAGCACTGTAGGAAACTGCATGATGGTACTTCAGCAAACCGAGGAGAGAGCCGGGAGGCAGACAAGGGTGGCCAGGCTGCTCAGCTGACTGCAAGATCCAGTCGGTCTCTGGATCCTGAAATCAGATGTGGATCCCTGCCCAACAGCTTGCCAGCCTGGTGACAGCAAGAATGAGTTACTGCCTAGTGGATTGCTCTTTCCCAGACTAGTGCTGTCCTAAGCGCCCCAGCTCCAAGGGCTGAAAGCCCTTTTTGTCTGGGTGATGATCTGACCTGGGATTGTCAGATCAGATAACAGGGAAATTGCTCTCAGCAAGAATCAAGTCCTGCTCGCTGCCCCAGACCTGCCATTAGACATTAGACAGCCCTCCCACAGCTAGGAGCTGCCCTAACCTCAGGGCACCATTCCCAGCACGGGAGGAGGGCAGCGCTGACTTCATCTTCCCCGCCATGTCTGCGCTCCTCTTCTGAGCTCTGAACTGCACAAACGCCAGCCTGAGAGAGACTCTAATGGATGGCTTATCAAACCATGACACCCGCTTTCTCTGGAAGAGACCTTTCCCTTTGAGTAAGGCAGAGTTTGTACTTCTCAGATCAGCCAGCAGCACTGCTGCCCAGGGGGAAGCAATGACTCTGTTGTCCAGCACCTCTGCAGGCAGGGGAAAGTGGCTCATGAGATGGAAGCGTTCGGCCCAGAGTGAAGTGGCAGCGTCAGAGAAGCTGCCCTGCTCCTGCCCTTTGATTGCCTCTACTGACCAAGCACTACACAGGTGGCTGCAGCTGGACAAGCCACAGATACACTCACACAAAACCTCCCACAGGAAACCTCCAGTTTCCACAATATCAAAGCAAAGCCACCCTTCCCTCACTCCCGAATGCTGAACTTATTCTGTAGGCAGACACCAAACAGCTCACTGTCCACTTCCACACCTTCTTGCCCAGAGCAGAGCCGAGGTGACCTGATACAGCAACAGGACCCACCAAACACAAGGGAGTGGAGAGGGCAGACAACAGAGTGTAACTCCAGAGTCCCTTCAGCCCCCAGTGACCCACTTGAATACTGAGGGAAGGTGAACTCCTTTCTGCTTTTCATGCAGCAGCAGGAACCTCTCTCCTTCCCGAGTGTCCCCAGGCCGCAGAGCCGCCCGCTTACCAAAGGTGATGTAGCCAATATTGTCGCCGACGGCTGCGTCTGTGTCTTTCAGCTCCAAGGGTGGCTCCCTGTGGCTGAACAGCACCTGTGGGGCTGTGTGACTGGCCCGGCGACCCTCCTTGAACTCCTGAACAAGAAAAACCTAAGGTGAGTCCCACTGTGACACTTCAGGAAAGCAAACGGGGTGTCCTCATGCCCACAGGGCATCTGAGCAGGAGATTTCCCACCTTTCCTTGCATGGGGCAAATCCATCAGACCAAACCTCTGGAAAACAGTACAGTTTTCCCAGCAAAACCAGACCAAGACGTGTGGCTGTCCCAGGTTTACACGTGTCCCTAGCGCAGTCCCTCAGCCGGGGTGGCTTGCAGTGTCACACTCCTGCCACCAGTGTTTTGTGGAGGGGACACCTCGGAGCAAGCGCGAGACAGCGCAGCTCCTGCCACGAAGTCAACACCATCAGTGCTCCCAGCGAGAGCTGGCAGCGCCCATCACCCCAGAGGAAGGGAAACTCTCAGAAGGGGCTGCACGGTCCCCGCTGTGCTCAGCGTAAAGGCTCTGCTGTTTGAGAAAACACATCCCACCAGCCTTTGCTGAAGCATTAAGAGGCACCTGCAGGGTTTGAAGTTTGCGTGTGATGCCTGCTCCTCCTAATACCCCTCTAATCCTTGATACAATACCTCCATGCAGGGAGATCCCTTCCACCCGGGAATCTCTCTGACAGCAGCAGGACCCACATCTCACATGAAATGAACTGGCTCCACATTTCAGGAGTTACAGGGCTGTCCCTACACCAGGGCTGGGAAAGTCCAGACCCGGTTCCCCTGCCCCAAGGCAGGGCAGCCTCCTCCCTGCCCCACTGACCCCCAGCCCAACCTACACATCGTCAGCCACCTTCAGTCTCTCCTCCCTTCTCAGCAAAGCTCACCCAGGGAAGGCAGGAGCATCTGTGCCGCTTTTAGAGAACCGAGCAGTTCGCTGGGGTTTCCTTAATGAAATGCTTAGCTTGCACTTCTGCTCGCTTATGCCAGA